AAACATTTGTTGGGGAGACCTAGGTTTTTTGTGGGGGAGTTATTTGTCCTGTCTTCACGCTTTTTATGATGGAGGACCGCTGTAGCCACCCCCAACGACACGTTCTCAAGATGGAGGGGAGGGAACAGCTGCAGTCGCCTGCGGTTCCTGCGCAATGTTTGCCATCTTGCCAAAGGTTGCAGGCAGCTTTACCTGCAGCAATTGCATGTTGATTGCCCTCTTAAAAGACAAAGTCCAGCAACTGGAGGAACGTGTAGCTACGCTCCAAAGAATTAGAGAGCTGGAGCTCTTCTTGGAAGAAACAGAGCACACCGTCTCCACCAAGGAGGAGACAGGGGACTCCCTGAGAAGGAGGCTAGTTCACCAACACAGGAGCCAGATATATGGAGAAACGTGACTCAAAGAAGTAGGAGGCCCAGGGTTCGCTCTGATTGTTTAGAAATACACAATCGCTTTGAGGTCCTCTCCCTAGCATGGAAGACGAAGAGCAGACTCCATTTGAGGATCTCCCTCATTACTGTCGATCAGGTATATGAAGACGAGCAGCAAAGTCAGTCCTCAGGGAATGTGCAGGCGACCTTGGAACGGACAGCTCACGGAAGAACCCCGACCAAACCTAAGAGGAGGCGTGTAGTGGTGATAGGGGATTCCGTACAGAAGCAGTGATCTGTGGGCCTGACAAGATGTCTCGGGAAGTGTGCGGTCTCCCCGGGGCGAAGATCCAAGATGTAACTGAACGACTGCAAGGGATCATAAAACCCACTGACAAATACCCCCTCCTCTTGGTTCATGTGGGAACCAATGACACTGCAAGCAATAGCCTCCAGAAGATCAAAAGAGACTACGAGGCTCTGGGCAGGAAATTGAAGCAATTAAATGCACAAATTGTCATCTCATCTGTCCTCCCCAGTGGTGTACCTCCCCTGTTAGACATGAAAGTGGTACTGGTGTCCACCTCCTAAAATCTCAACTGGACTTTCAATCTCTGATCTTACAACCAAACAAAATATGTCTAACTATACGCAGCAGTGACCCCAGGTCCCCAAGGTGGAACAACCCGAGAGAGGTCAAAGATCATCTAAGGCAACTCCTTCAGATTAGGCCTCCGCTAATAGATCTCAGTACAGTGAAACTTCTATACTACCACCATCGGTTCCAAAAGTACTGCTCTCCTTCCAGTCTCCAAAAATTCCCTCCATACTGGTTAGGCGCAAAGCGTTATTGGCCACCTGGGGCATCTTCCCAACGAGAGTCTTTAATGACACCAGGATTAAACCTCTTTTCCGTAGCATCGTACAAAAGGTATCCGCTCGCCAGACAGGCGCGACATAGTTTTGAAACTCAAGCTGTCCACCCAGGAACCTCACCCTCCCTCTCAGCCCAAGCTTCCTGGTTTATCTACTCCAGCAACAGAGAAGCATGACCAAAGCGGACCCAGTTATCTGGCTCCCTCAGAGGAGAGGGACCTTATTTCATCCTATGGCGAGTTGCCATTAGTAGAACAGCAGGAAGTTATAAACAGGCTTGATACACTCAAGCAGCAACTTACACATGTACTTCAAGAGAAAATCTCCTTAAAACCTGGTCATAGTAACCTATTAAATCAAAGGAATGCAGTCATGAAGGGGCTAACACCCCAGAAACCCCTGCCAATCACTGGGACTCCAATGATGGATGATATGGCAGTCTGCCTGGCGGAAGCTCCTCATACATCGTCGCAACGCAGACCCCCTTCACCTCTACTAATAGATTTGCAATCAACTACCTCGTCCCTCGCCTTAAAGAGCAATATGCCAAACACCACGCATCCTGGTAACCTGTCAATGTCCTATTCTTCTATGCCTGACCTGGAGTCCTCATTCAGTGCGGTCCAGGCAGATGACTGTATATCCTCGTCCTTTGCCAGTCAACCTCGTTTGGTAGAACCTCATGTATCCGCAACCTCTTCAAGTCAATATATAAACGTTAAGGAAGTCACTGTGCAAAGAGACAGCTCAGGCTTTATTGAAGACCCTGCTGGCCACATCAATCAAATTACCATCCCTTCGATACCTTCGGCTGTATTACGCCTGGCGCGGTCTCAGACCCTTGGCAAGGCTTCTTCCACCAGCAACCAGAGTATCTGACTAGCACATAGTCCCTCCTCAAACTGCTTCAATGTGCTATCCTGGAATGTGGCGGGATGGACGTCCAAACAGGATGGCGGGGACATGATAGAGTTTTTAGCGAAATTCCAGATTATGGGTATACAAGAGACCTGGTGCTTAGAATCGTCACCCCCCCCTTCCCTATTGGGCTATGACGCCTTTGTGATTCCTGCGACCAAAACACATTTGTATGGGCGCCCTAGTGGAGGCCTGGTAACATTTGTTTCGCAGGAGCTTCATCTAAATATCTCTCCTCTCTTTTGGTTAGAGAGTAATTGTATTCAAACTTTGCACATCACTAACAGCCCGGTTGGGGACTTCATATGTGTTAACTTGTACAATCCATCTACCTACTCCTCTTCCCATACAAATCGGTTTTGGGAGGATCTAAGATTTATCCTTGATAAATCTGTGGCTGAATTCCCAAAGTCAGAGATCCTCATAATGGGGGACTTTAATGCCAGAATCGGAGCAGATATAAGCTCATTCACCGATAAGTCGCAACTATTCATAGAAGAGGAGTGGTTTCCTACGTGGAATTCTCATGACAAGACCATTAATAGGGCTGGCATCATACTGCTGGAGTTTACCATTAACTGCGGGCTGCACAGCTTGCATGGTACACCCAAAGACTGGTCCGGGGGATGCTATACTTTTCTAGGATCTAGAGGGGCAAGCGTTATAGATTATATCTGGTCCTCCTCGGCACTTAATGATAAGGCATATTGTTTCAATGTGTTCAACAGAACCGAAAGTGACCACCTCCCTATTGCCATCTCTTTCCACCATACACAGCTGGGGCTTCCCAGCTCACTCCACCTCCAGGATTCACTGACCTTAGCCCCCGGTCGTAAGAAGTGGGATATCTATCTGGAGCAAGACATAAAAGTCCTCCTAAATTCCCCTGAGATCCTAGCCCTGAAAGCTCAGCTGGTAACAATGAATGTGAATCATTTCTCAAGTTTCCAACAAATTCTAGCCTACTTGCTCCCAACACTTACGAAACCCTCTCGTGCGAGTTTAACCTGGAAGAATCAAACTTGGTTCGACCAAGAATGCAAACAGTGCAGAAGTAGGCTTAGATTTCTTCAGTCTGATATGAATTCAGACAGCACCCAGAGCAAAATCAGGGAGTTAGCCCAATTCCGTTCTTACTACAAGAAGTTGCTCCAACATAAGAAATTGATCTTTGCGCAAGAACGCTGGACGGCATTGTCAGTGGCCATTAAAACCCGTGACGACAAGAAATTCTGGAATTTAATTAATGCAGGTTTAAGACCCCCCTCATTCATCGTTAATAACATCACAGCAGCCAGTTGGCACTCTCACTTTGCTCAGCTGTATTCCGCCCCAGATTCCGACGTAAACGCAGTTTCCACTCTTCCTGCATCTGCCTTGCCCAACTGGGAGCCAGTCTCCCCAGAGAGATGTGTACAACTAATTAGCATGCTATCAGGGGATAAATCCCGGGGAGGATATGATTCCACCCGAGGTATTCTTATTGAACCAGATGTGGTGGGCCCCTATTTTTGCATCTCTCTTTACCACTATTAATGCCACTCTTAAGATCCCGCCTAATTGGAAACAGAGCATAGTCATCCCAATATATAAAAAGGGGGACCCACAAGATCCGCGTAACTATCGACCTATCAGCCTGCTAGACATATCATACAAGGTTTACTCTAGATTTTTGCTAGAGAAATTAGTCGAGTGGGCAGAAGAAACAAAGCTATTCCACCCGGAACAGGCTGGCTTCCGTAAAGGTCACAGCACATCTGGCCAATGTCTTGTTCTATTTACCCTGATTGATAAATACCTAAACAGGTTCAACTGTAAACTACACGCGGCTTTTGTGGACCTGACCTCCGCTTTTGACTCCATTCCCAGAGATAGGCTATGGCAGAAGCTTAGTTCCACCAACATAGATAAGAGACTCCTCCTCCTTCTCATGGAAATTCATAATGACATATCGGCCAGAGTAAAATTCGGCCCTCTGGGAGCTCTTTCTGATTCTTTCTCTCTGAATAAAGGGGTCAAACAGGGCTGCCTCTTGGCCCCTTTTCTATTCAATTTCTATATCAACGACATCGTTACAACTATGCAGGCCCTAAATCAATCTGCCCCCTCTTTACAACAGCTTAAGATCCCCATATTACTCTATGCGGACGACATGGTGATACTGTCTTTAACCAAGCAGGGCTTAAACAACATGCTCAGAGGGCTCATGACATATTGTGATACCAATTCCCTCAAAATCAATTTCGCCAAAACCAAAATTCTTACTTTTGGCACGAAAACTCGGAAGTCATTCTGGAATTTTGAGGGCCACTCTATTGAATATTGCTCAGCATTCAAGTATTTGGGAATCACTTTTCAGCATGGGCTTAGCTGGTCAGCTCACCTAAATATGACCATCCTGGCTGCCCGTAGAACCATCAAAGCCTTGGAGAAATTCTTCTATGCAAAAGGCGGCCAGTTGGTTCCACCAATCAGAAAAGCATTTATCAGCAAAGTCCTCCCGATGTTACTGTATGGGGTTGAAATCTGGGGGTGGAATTTAAAAACACTACAACGGCTGGAGATTCTACAAAACTCTTTTGCACGAAAGATACTGGGTCTCCCCAAGGGCTCGGTTGCTGCACAGTTAAGAACAGAACTGGGCCTCCCCTCCATTGTTGCGAGAGCCCACATTAGAATTATTAGTTTTTATTGCAAATTAATCAATGCCCCAGGTTCCCTACTAGCCAGGCAAGCCTTTTTAACTTGTTCTCACTCCAACAAATGGTCCAAGGCCATGGAGACTATTACTGTACGCTACTCCCTCCCAGATTTCGACACGTTGTCATCTTGGGACCAACATAAAATCCGGGCCTGGATTCTTACAAGAGATGAGGCCATGGACCGGGCACAGTCCACCTCAGCTCGCCTCTCCATGTGGCTCCCTAAAGTGAAAGTGGTAAGATCACTTGCCAACTACTTGATAGACCTGACGGAGCCCAATTTGAGAAGAGCGTTTACAATGGCCCGCTTTCATTCTATACCCACGGCCTTCCTGCAGGGGACCTACTCTAAGACCCCTATTACTCAGCGTCTATGTCCATGCACAATGAATGAAGTAGAGGACTTCATACATTTCTTTTTCTACTGCCCTATTTATGACCCAATAAGACCTAAGCTCCTCCTCTTGATCCCGTCCTCCATTTCATCTAAGGAAGACTGTTTGAAAGCACTTCTTGTGGACGCAAATCCCCAAATTTCACGTGGGGTGGCAATCTTCACAGTGCAGGCTCTGAAACTCAGGGCTACTCTGACAGGGTAGTGTGCCCTAGTCCCGGACCTGTTTAATTTTTATTACCTTTTTAACTTAATGTGCTGAGCCTATTTTGGGGCCATTTTATGCTTTATTTATATCCGCATGCAAGGTTTTTAGCTGGGGCAATGAGAATAATATTCCACTATTTGACTATTGATCCAAAACCCTATAATGTGTTTTATACAATTGACTTTTTATTTCTATTCTTTGTCTATCCTATTGTTGTTTTGTTGCTATGGCCGATGGCTGATGCAAATAAAGATTCATTCATCTGTCCTCCCAGTTGAACGACGTGGTCCAGGGAGAGAGGGAAAAATAGTGGAAGTGAACAGCTGGCTTCGCAAATGGTGTAAACAGGAACGGTTTGGATTCTTAGATCACGGACTGCAGTTTCTTGAAGATGGACTTCTGGCAAGCCATGGGCTGCACCTCACAACGGTTGGGAGGAATGTTTTTGCCAAAAATCTCAGAAACCTCATCAGGAGGGCTTTAAACTGACTAATGTGGGGAGAGGAGACAGTGCAGCTGAAGTTAGGATTCTATCAATTGATGAAGATGATCATCCAAATGTCATAGTCCAAATGGAGCAAACAGCACACAGACCTAGTGGTGGGAGGAAAAATCCTTAAATAAGAGACACAGGGGAATGATTAATGGACTTCAATGTCTGTACACTAATGCGCAAAGCATGGGAAATAAACAAGATGAGCTTGAGCTCTTGGTACAGCAAACTAAATATGACATAATAGGCATCACTGAAACCTGGTGGGATAAGTCCCATGATTGGAATGTAATAATGGGGGATACAATCTATTTCAGAGAAACAGACCAGACAAGAAAGGAGGAGGAGTGGCGTTATATGTCAGGGATGTGTATACCTGTGAAGAGATCCAAGATTTAGAACCTCAAAGCCAAAGTGAGAGCATTTGGGTCAAAATTAAGGAGAGAAGAATAACAGTGACCTCATTGTGGGAGTTTACTATAGATCCCCAAGCCTAACGGAGGACATAGATGATGCCTTCCTGGAACAGATGGCCAAGCATGCAAAAGGAAGGGAGATAGTAGTAATGGGGGACTTCAATTACCCAGATATTTGTTGGATGTCAAACTCAGCCAAGAGCATAAGGTCAAACAGATTCCTCACTGGCCTTGCAGACAACTTCATTGTCCAGAAAGTGGGAGAAGCAACAAGAGGAACAGCCATTTTAGATCTGGTCCTAACCAATGTTGATGACATAATAATAATAATAATAATAATTTATTACGGCCGTAGGCCCATACAGATAAAAACAAGACATAAATAACAGCCTGTGCACATGGGAAAAAAACAGCCGCTAAAACACTACTATAACAATAAACTACTATAAGATGGAATGGCATACTACGCCTTAATTAGCTTGTGGTGCTCCTTGGCAACGCTTTTGGGTAAGGACAGCGACCAGGAACCTAGCCACTTTCAGGGTCGTATGGGCATCCTTATCCTGCAAGATTTGGGCAAGGTGGAATTTTGGTGGAGTACCCTCTAATTTCTGTATGATTGATCCCAACAAATTTGCCCGTGGCACCTTAAATAAGGGGCAAGTGAACATAATGTGCTGAAGCGACTCCGGCATCTCCTTATCACATTCGCACATGGCGGAGGTTTGGCCCTTTGAGAATCTATGTCTCAGGACATTGGAGGAAAAACATTAAACCTCGCTTTGGTGAAGGCCAGCCTATGGGCAACAGTCGAAAGGAGGAGAGGTATGATGGAACGCAATAAGTTAAAGTGATACCAATGTTCTGGGGCGAACAAACACCTCCCCCCCAGCATATAATTTTGCTGTAAATCGATGTCATCCAGTCTTTGGCGGATCAGTCTTTGAGCAGTGATTTGATCTAGTTTTAGGGAATCAAAGGGAGAGATTCCATAGCTCAGGAGTTTGGCATGAATTCTACTGGTCCAAAGGCTGGAGAATTCATCTCGCCATAAGCATTGGGCAAGGTAATGGTCTGGTAATCTATGCCACAATGATAACCAATAATTGAAGACTTGCTTCCACAGGCAAGTTTCTAAGGATGCGATCCTCAATTCTAGCCGCATGGCTGCGTTGCTTACGCACAGGGGGAGCATTAGGAGCCGACGTAGGAATTGGTTTTGCAAAGTCTCAAGAGGAGCAAGGTCTGTCATCACGACCCAGAGCGGGGCAGCATAAGCAAGCACGGGAACCACTTGTGCCTTGAACACCTTTAGGGCCGAGGGAACATGCAAAGCTCCATCCGAAAAGAAAAATCGGAGGAGCGCATATGACAGAGTTTTGGCCTTATTAAGTAGGTGTTGAATATGTTACCATAAAGCACCAATGCTGCAGCAAGCAAAGGCTCTAGCAGCTCAGCCAGCTGCTTGTGGCTGGAAAGCCAGACAGGATGTTTGTGACTGTTGCCATGGGAACAAAGGGGCAGTCCATTCTGTACTGAGCACCGGATGTTAGCTCAGTGTGTGTGTGTCTTATGACCCGTACTGGATGTACTTGGGAGGAGTCTTCTTCTTGCTGTTGTTGAGTGCAGACATGATTCTCTGTACTGATGTAAGAGGCAGAAATAAATGATGTAAATAGTTTTCTGTCTGCTTCTTTCCCCTCCCTGGGGACACCAAAGGGGAGAGAGGAAGAACGGTGTGTTCCTCTCATACATCTGAGAAGAATCGCCGGACCTCGCCTGCTTATCAGCAGAGTGGAGACGCGGGGAGGTCGACAGGAATATCTGCCGGTGCCTACGCTGTGGCACATTCCTCTGACCCAGGCAGAATTCCAACAGTGGCAGCCTTCGGATGGTTGCGATTCATCGGACATCTGCATGAGAGGCTGGTGGATTGTCCTCCTCTGCTCCAAGGAGGAAGAGAAGCGTCTGAAAGAAGCCAGAGGCTCCACAGACAGCTGGTGGAAAGAAGAGGTGTTTTCCCAAGCAACGGAGCTCAAGGTATGCTGCATTTCGGGCTAAAAGTGTGAACGCAGGAAGATTAATTCCCTGGTTCACGGAGCTGCGTTTCAAAGAAAACAAGAGCTCCGAGAGGAAGAGGCCTGCAGCTTGTAGGCTGAAGCCTGCATTCCACAAATTTTTGTGGTAGATAAGATGTCTTATTGAAATGCATTGTTGCTAGGCAACGGTCCTGGAAAGTTACTGGCAAGGGGCTGGACTCTGAGTGTAAGCCTGGGAAAGCGAAACAAAACCAGAGAATGTTTTGGCTACAAGGTTTACGAGCTCTTGGAAGGGACTCTTCAATAGCAGCCTGAGTTTAGCTGCCAGGTGCAAAAAGCACAAACAACTTGCAGTTTGCCTGCGTGAGAAAGAAAAAACTGCTGTTGGATTTTGCAGCTTGTTTGGAGGTGAGAGAGGCTTGGCTTCAAGATGGATGCCAAGAAAGGGGAGGTTTGCCTTGCCCACCTCCCTTAACCAATGACAATTATTCATCTTGGTCTGTAAAGATGAAGGCCCTGCTGCAGAATCAGAGGCTTTTGGATGGACTTGAAAACCCCATCCCTGCAGCACCAACCAGAGGTTGGGAGTCACAGAATGTAAGGGCCAGGACTGCTATAATTCTGTGTGTCTCAGATGATCAGTTGGTGCATGTTCAGCATTTAGAAAATGCGAAAGAGGTATGGGACACGCTGCGTACAACGCATCAGAGAGATGCTGGTTCTTCAGCGTTGCTGTATTTTGAGAAATTGACCAATCTGAGACTTGCGCCTGATGGAGATGTTCAAGCGCACCTGACAGAAATGAAGTTTCTGCGTCAACAGATGGTGGAACGCAATTTTCGTCTTCAGGAGGAAGTGTTTTGCTTCATGATGATAAACAGCCTTAGCCGCACCTACAAGGTTGTTGCCAGTCAGCTTGGTTCCCTACCGGCCGCGCAGCTGACCGCGGAGAGAGTTTGTGCTGTGGTCCTGAATGAACACGACAGACTTGCTGCACTGGAAGAAAAAGACAGGGGAGGGAAGAACAGAGTTCTAATTCCCCACTGCTGATGCTACTGGAGAGCATGGTGTAGCATTGAGTGCTGTCCGATGCTACAATTGTGGACAGACTGGGCATCTACAGCGAAACTGTAAGAAGCCGCGCCAGTCAAGAGGAGCAAAGAGCAGCTCTACGAAGCCTCAGGCGTCAGGCAAAAGCCGTTCCAAGTGCCAGGTGAAACCTGCAAAGGCTATGATGGCGAAAGGAACCACGCCAGATGTTGGGAACTCGTTCATAATTGACACGGGCGCAACGGTTCACATGTGCCCGCACAGAGGACTATTTTCGACGTTGAAGAAGCAAAGCTTCACTGTGAAACAGGCCAACGGTCAGGAGTTGGAAGCAACTGGAATTGGGACTGTGTATCTTGAAAGTCTGAACTTGACTATAAGTGATGTTTACCTGGTTCCAGAACTGAGATTTAATCTGCTGAGCGTGTCGCAGATTGCAAAGAAAGGACTGAAACTGTCCTATGATGCTAAAAGCTGCAAGATCTACAAAGATGGAGAACTGTTTCTTACTGCCAAAGAGAAAGATGGACTGTATTTGTTGACTTTTGATCAAAGTGATTACATGAAATGTAATTCTTCTGTTTCTAACGAAATCTCTCTTGCAGGCATGACCAGTGTGAGCACCAGGAAGGTGACTAAGACCAAGAAGGTCGACAGAGCATTTCAGCGGGTGTATGCTGATGTGATTGGTCCTCTAGAACCATCTAGAGGCGGTGCACGATTTTACCTTTTGTGTGTGGATTGTTTCACTAATTATTCTTGGGTTTATATGATGGAGAAACCGCAAGAAACTTTAGAAAAGTTTCAGGAGTTTTGTGACAAGGTTAAAAGTATGCATGATGCTAACATTGATTGTCTTTTCACAGATGAGAAGCAAATTTTTCTGTTGCAGAAGTTTCAGAAGTTCCTGGATGGAAAAGGGATAGACCACAAAGTGGCAGTTTCGCAAGAAGCGTGGAACAGGGGGGTCTGTGTAAAAGTGAACAAAGAATTGCAAAAGGGGATGAATGCGCAATTGCTGAGTTCACATTTGCCACATGAATATTGGGCTGAATCGCTAGCGTCCTATCTTCATGTGTGGTTGAGAAAGGTCTCAACAGAGTTGGGATGTTCTCCTTTTGAGAAGCTGTTCAATAGAAAACCTTCTGTTGCCTATTTTAAGGTTTTCGGGTCTCATGTGAGAACAGAAGCTCCAGGTGGAGTAAAGAATGCCAGAGGCATTTTCGTAGGTTATGAAAAAGGTCTCTACAGAGTAATTTTGTCTGAATCTGGTCAGGTGATTCTCACAAAGTTCCTAGAGAGTGCTCCAAAGCAAGAGCGGATAGTACAGACATTTCCCACAGGAAACGATTCTGATGATGATGATGATGAGTTTGATCTTATTGAGTTCAGTAGTACTGATGATGACAGTGAGAGCTCAGAGAGTTCAGTTGTCACAGTCATTGAGAGGAAATCTCACACAATGGATAGACCTTCACAGGTGAAGGAAGAACCACTGATTGCTACTGGTTCTCAACAGAGTCCAAAGGTTGAACCAGTGAGCACAGAGGATCAGAACCTCATACGTAGGTCTGAGAGAGCAACGAAGGGTGTACCACCCAAGAGGTATTCAAAGGAGTTTGCTAACCTTGCATATGTTGCTATTGTAAACGACCAAGGACAGCTTGAAGCTGTGTCTGAGTCAGAGACAAAGGCACAACAGAGAGGTGTTAACCAAGGTAATGCGAAGTCACACAACCAGAGAGGTACATTGGTTAAACCAGTGGCGGGTAGTTCCAAGGGTGGAACTGAAACAACAGGGGAATGTTATAAATATAACAACTGTTTGTTTTCTTCTCTGGATGACGCTTTGCTCGCAGCACACATTGATACTTTAGGGGGAGTATGTTACCATAAAGCACCAATGCTGCAGCAAGCAAAGGCTCTAGCAGCTCAGCCAGCTGCTTGTGGCTGGAAAGCCAGACAGGATGTTTGTGACTGTTGCCATGGGAACAAAGGGGCAGTCCATTCTGTACTGAGCACCGGATGTTAGCTCAGTGTGTGTGTGTCATATGACCCGTACTGGATGTACTTGGGAGGAGTTTCTTCTTGCTGTTGTTGAGTGCAGACATGATTCTCTGTACTGATGTAAGAGGCAGAAATAAATGATGTAAATAGTTTTCTGTCTGCTTCTTCCCCTCCCTGGGGACACCAAAGGGAGAGAGGAAGAACGGTGTGTTCCTCTCATACATCTGAGAAGAATCGCCGGACCTCGCCTGCTTATCAGCAGAGTGGAGACGCGGGGAGGTCGACAGGAATATCTGCCGGTGCCTACGCTGTGGCACATTCCTCTGACCCAGGCAGAATTCCAACACTTTCCACCCCAAATTGTATTGAAAAATAACTCCTAGGTATTGAAATTTTAGGACTTGCTCTATTTTTGCTCCACCAAGCTTCCATTCGTATAATCTCCGACTTCTGGCGAAAATCAGAATCTTAGATTTAGCATGATTGATGGTTAATTGGTTGAGTTGACAATACGTGGCAAAGATCTTCAGAGCTCTGGTTAGTCCAACACGTGTATAAGATAGAATTACCGCGTCGTCCGCATATAAAAGGAGTGGACAGCGGTAATCCGCTAGTCTAGGCGCATGTGTACTTGGAGATGAGTTGACTAGGGGTGCTCGCATGTCGCTGATGAATAGATTGAATAGGCAGGGGCCAATATACATCCTTGGCGCACTCCCTTGTTTATTGGTATCGAATTTGTGAGGTCGCCCGCAGGAGTAAGTCTCACTCTGGCAAGGGTACCTTCGTGGAGCTGACTTATAAGCCATAAGAGCCTTCTATCGATGCCCTGTTTCGCAAGTTTCTCCCAAAGAATATTTCTAGGAACGCTGTCGAAGGCTGCCTTAAGATCTAAGAAGGCAGCACACAGGTAGCCCGGGGAGGAGGAGTACTTCCGTGCCAGATGGTAAAGAACTATCGCATGATCAGTTGTAGAGCGTTTAATTCTGAACCCTGCTTGTTCGTGGCCAATCTGGTTAGTCTCATCTACCCATCGCGATAGTTTCGTCAGCAAAAAGCTGGCATAAATTTTCCCTATGATCGAAAGGAGGCTGATGTTACGGTAATTTTCCGGCTCCATTGGAGAACCTTTTTTATGAATTGGTACTATAATGGCCTCCTTCCATATTTTGGGGATGATACCAGAAGCGTTGATTGCGTCGAAGGTTTTGGCCAAGATGCCAGCCCACCATTTTGGGTGTAGTTTGATGGCTTCAGCAGGGATCAGGTCGGGCCCTGGGGCTTTGCCCAATTTCAGCTGGGCTATTAGCTTGGCTATTTCGTCAGGATCGGTGGGAGGCCAAATAGGTAGGTGGGAAAACAGATGCATCAGATGGTCGGAGGGGCATCTGCCTGTGAGAAACATTTCTTCAGGAACAATTCCCATGTCGGTGCAGGGATGACTGCCCTTGGGTATTTCCTCACCCTTCTGTTAATCAGAGACCAGAATTCCCTGGATCTATGTGATTTTGAAGCAGTAATCAAGGCCTGCCAGCGATTATGTTGCCACTCACGTTTGGCAATTTTCTGCGTGCGTTTATAAACTTGCTTGGCTTGTGCATAACTAGCTGGCAGAGTAGATGCATCGGAGGTCTTATATACATTATATATAGCACGAAGGCGCTGTCTTGCTTGTTTGCACTGAGAGTTATACCAGGGGGCACCGTAAGTATACTCGTTTCGAATTAATATTTTGGGTGGTAACCTGAAGAAGGACGTAAAATCAGTCGTATGATGGTGGAAGCGTTTCAACACTATGCTATGCTCGTCTGAGGCAGAGCCTATGTAGGGATGGGGCCCGAGGATTTCTTTTTGAAAGAATTCCTGATACCTTTGAGCCTGGGTCTCCGACCATTTGATTCCTCTTACTTGAAGAGATACGTTGGTTACCATCTGGGTCGCATGTCTATAGGCCTCCAACTGCCAATTCAGGGAAAGCTTGGCTACAAGGGGAATGTTGATGACCTGGTTAGTGGGGTAGAAGTGGAAGGATCATTAGGCATGAGTGATCATGCTCTTCTGAAGTTTACTACACAGCGGAAAGGAGCAGCCAAGCATACTAGGACTCAATTTCTTGACTTTAAGAAAGCCGACTTCATAAAACTTAGGGAAGTGCTGGGCGAGATCCCATGGACAGTAATACTAAAAGGAAAGGGAGTTCATGATGGCTGGGAGTTTGATAAGAGGGAGATAGTAAAAGCACAACGTCAGGCAATACCAATGAGACGGAAACATGGAAGGTGCCTAAAGAAGCCAGGGTGGCTATCTAAAGAACTTTTAACTGAGTTAAGATTACAAAAGGATGTGCACAAAAAAGGAAAAGGGGAAACCACCAAAGAGGAATTCAAACAAATAGCCAGCACGTGTAGACACAAAGTCAGAAAAGCTAAAGCACAGAATGAACTCAGGCTTGCTAGAGAGTTAAAAGCAACAAAAAAGGCTTTTATGGGTATGTCCGTAGCAAAAGGAAGAACAAAGAAACAGTGGGGTCACTCAGAGGAGAAGATGGTGAAATGCAAACAGGGGACACAGAAAGGGCTGAACTCCTCAATGCCTTCTTTGCCTCAGTCTTCTCCGATAAAGAAAACAATGCCCGACCTGAAGAATTTGGAGCAAATGATTCAGCAGAGGAAACACAGCCCAGAATAACTAAGGAGATAGTACAAGAATACTTGGCTAGTTTAGATGTATTCAAGTCTCCAGGGCCAGATGAACTGCATCCAAGAGTATTAAAAGAACTGGCAGATGTGATCTCAGAACCACTGGCAGTCATCTTTGAGAATTCCTGGAGAACAGGCGAAGTCCCGGCAGACTGGAGGAGGGCAAATGTTGTCCCTATTTTCAAAAAGGGAAAAGAGAGGACCCAAATAATTACCGCCCAGTCAGTCTGACATCAATACCAGGGAAGATTCTGGAGCAGATCATTAAGCAAACAGTCTGTGAGCACCTAGAAAGGAATGCTGTGATCACCAATAGTCAGCATGGATTTCTGAAAAATAAGTCATGTCAGACTAACCTGATCTCGTTTTTGACAGAATTACAAGCCTGGTAGATGAAGGGAACGCAGTGGATGTAGCCTACCTTGATTTCAGCAAGGCATTTGACAAGGTGCCCCATGATATTCTTGTAAAGAAGCTGGTAAAATGCGGTCTTGACTATGCTACCACTCAGTGGATTTGTAACTGGCTGACTGACCGAACCCAAAGGGTGCTCATCAATGGTTCCTCTTCATCCTGGAGAAGAGTGACTAGTGGGGTGCCACAGGGTTCTGTCTTGGGCCCGGTCTTATTCAACATCTTTATCAACGACTTGGATGATGGACTCAAGGGCATCCTGATCAAATTTGCAGATGACACCAAACTGGGAGGGGTGGCTAACACCCCAGAGGACAGGATCACACTTCAAAACGACCTTGACAGATTAGAGAACTGGGCCAAAACAAACAAGATGAATTTTAACAGGAGAAATGTAAAGTATTGCACTTGGGCAAAAAAATGAGAGGCACAAATACAAGATGGGTGACACCTGGCTTGAGAGCAGTACATGTGAAAAGGATCTAGGAGTCTTGGTTGACCACAAACTTGACATGAGCCAACAGTGTGATGCGGCAGCTAAAAAAGCCAATGCAATTCTGGGCTGCATCAATAGAAGTATAGCATCTAGATCAATGGAAGTAATAGTGCCACTGTATTCTGCTCTGGTCAGACCTCACCTGGAGTACTGTGTCCAGTTCTGGGCACCACAGTTCAAGAAGGACACTGACAAACTGGAACGTGTCCAGAGGAGGGCAACCAAAATGGTCAAAGGCCTGGAAACGATGCCTTATGAGGAACGGCTAAGGGAGCTGGGCATGTTTAGCCTGGAGAAGAGGAGGTTAAGGGGTGATATGATAGCCATGTTCAAATATATAAAGGATGTCACATAGAGGAGGGAGAAAGGTTGTTTTCTGCTGCTCCAGAGAAGCGGACACGGAGCAATGGATCCAAACTACAAGAAAGAAGATTCCACCTAAACATTAGGAAGAACTTCCTGACAGTAAGAGCTGTTCGACAGTGGAATTTGCTGCCAAGGAGTGTGGTGGAGTCTCCTTCTTTGGAGGTCTTTAAGCAGAGGCTTGACAACCATATGTCAGGAGTGCTCTGATGGTGTTTCCTGCTTGGCAGGGGGTTGGACTCGATGGCCCTTGTGGTCTCTTCCAACTCTATGATTCTATGATTCTATGATTCTATGAGTACAGACATGTTTTCTGTAATGCTGCAAAGACAGAAATAAAGGCATGTAAATACATTTCTGTCTATCTCCTATCCCTGCCAGGGGAGCAGGAGGGGGGGGGTGTTCTTCCCACGTTTGGGAAGAATCGCCTATCGTGACCTAGCCTGGATCTTTCTGGGGAATGCAGCGAGGGAGGTCAACAGGAGACCAAGACGGGTGCCTGGGAGAGTTGCCAGTTTCTCCTGATAAAGGTTTGATTTCTCACATCTGGTAGCACGAGCCGATGGTTTTGCTACATGAAAGTGGCAAAAGAGGTCGATGGATCGTATTCATGCTCTGCATGGATAAAGGAAGATATGGTAGCGAGCGGATGGAAGCTACAAGGACGGCTGAGCACCGGTGGAGGCGTTTTTACTGACAAGCCACGAGCAACGGAACCCCTAAAGGTATGCTGAATGTTTGATGGCTGAAAGAGTGAACGCAGGTTGATTCTTCTCTGGTTCACAGAAGCTGCTTTTGGATAAAAACAGCACTGAGAGAGAGCCACATTCTTCAAATTCCTTAGGACTGATAAGTTCTGCTACTGCAGCCTGCCAAGTCCAGTTGCTAAGCAACGAGACGTGAGTACTTTTCAGCTACTTCTGAGCTAGTTAGCTTTGTAAAGTAAAGAGGAAAATTACTAGCCAACGCAAAAGTGAGGCTGGGACTGTGAGAGGCTGGAAAAACACTGGTGGTTTGCATGTTATCTCACTGCTCTTGGAGGGACTTTCCAAAGCAGCCTGCGCTTTAGCTGCCAGGTGCAAGGCAGTAAACAACCAATAGACTTTTGGTTTTACCAGTGCATGACTGAGAGCTGAGGCTTGGATTCAAAATGGATGCCAAGAAGGGGGGAGGCTTACCTTACCCACCTCCACTGACTAATGACAATTATTCCTCATGGTCTGTAAAGATGAAAGCCCTGCTTCAGAATCAGAGGATTTTTGGGGTGATTGATAATCCCATCCCTGCTGCACCTACGCCAGCTTGGAATTCACAGAATATGAGAACCAGGACAGCCATAATTCTGTGTGTCTCTGATGATCAACTCGTTCATATTGGGAGTTTGAA